TGGGAGGTAGGGGAGTGAGAGCCCACTGGGAAGTAAAGCGGTTTTCTCAGACTCTCCCACGCCCGGGCCTTCAGTGACCAGATCTCACTGTCCCAGCTCCCAGCAGTTTTGTTTAAACCGGTTCCCTGTGACACGCCTGCTAGTCCTCATGCACAAGTGAGCAGTAGGCATTGGGTATATGAGTCTGGAGAACGGGAGAGAGCAAAAGTAGGAAAATAAATATGTGGATAACCAATTAGAGATGGCATTTTAAGTTACTATATAAGATGGGCCTGCCTAGTATTTGAGTTTGCATTCATAACACGTGTTTTGGATGACATCAGATACTGCCTTCCAAGGGAGTTTATATATTTAGGTGCTCCTATATTGGGTGCATTGATGTTTACAAGGGTATTTCCTCTGTTGAAATGATACCTTTATCTTTATGTCTTTTACTCCTTTCCTCTAGATAAATTCTACAACAAAAGCTTTGCAAAAAAAAAAAAAGACAAAAAACATGCTGTTAACTATGCAACTCTATTCATATGTTTGGTAAGAAAATAAATAACCTGTAACCATAAAAAAGAAAACATAATGTCATAATAAAAATCTATGCTTGTCCTGTTGACTATAATAACTTATTTTTCTACGACTGGTTATAGGGTTTGAATTTAAAATTATTCTTTAAGATCAGCAAAATGATAAATGAAAATAAAAACCTAACAGGTTCTAGGATAAATGGCTTTAACTTGCTTTTAGACACTAGAGAAACGAGGATTAGGTTATATCACACAGACCATCTTAAACATTTTCTCCTAAGCTGTCACTGCAGGATTTTATTTTGAAAAAAGAAGGCATGCTAAATTATTTCAGACCTGCTCTCTTTAAATAGCTCATTGATTTGGTGATAAACATTATTACATTCGGATGCAGTCAACAAAATGATGGCTGTGCCCTTTGCTGCAGTGAGATACAATCTGAGAAGGAAATGGGCGTACAGGATGGCGCTGTCTGCCTGCATCGAAAGATGTGTGCCTCTCTGACTTATGTGATGGAAAATATTTCCATTAAGTTCATCTCCTGTGGGGCAAGTCTACCCAGGGACAAATAAAGACTCTTCAGCTCGCTGCCTCTATCAGTGATGGTCACAGAGGGCAATAGCGCCCTGCAGGGCACTTCTGCGATGTCTGGAGACCTGTTTGATGGCCATGACTTGGAGAGGGTGGTGTTCCTGACGTCTAGTGGGCATCCGCTCTGCGAGGTGTCCTACGACATGCAGGACACTTAGCCCTAACACCACAGCAAAGCGCTACCTGAAAATGTCCAGAGTGCCGCCTCTTAGAAACCACTGTCTAAATAAGTAAGTACATACTGTTTGTCACCAACACAGTGCTTCCTCTGAGCTATTTACAAAATGTAAAAATGTTTGTAATCATATGACTTTAACAATAATTCACATTAACTTTATGTTACTCTTCAAAACAGTTTAGTATGTTAATATAGCCACTAATGAAACAGGAGGCTAGTGGAATATCCAAATTAAGGTAGTTTCTGTGGAAGACATGGGAATTAAAAGAAAATTCATTAAGGAAGCAAAAGTAAGGAAAGGAAAAGAGGGGAAACAATAAATTATACACCTGACATGAGGATGGAAGAAATATAATCCAATATATTAGTTAATCATAAATGAAAAATTATAATTTTACACCTGTAAAGTGGGAATGACATACTAATACCTCACTTACAGGGCAGTGATGGCGAATAAATTAGTTCATATCTGTAAAGTATTGAATCCATAGCTATCATAAACACTAAAAAAGTGTTAGTTATTATTCTTTTTCCTGTTATTATTATAAGCTATTTCATAAAAACCACCCAAGCAGCATGGGATATAAACCAAAATCTCAAGAAAAGAAAAAAGGGAAATCACCACAGTGGTAGAGGATCTTCATCACCCTCAGAAGTTGACATCAATTTGCCACAACACAGCGGGGCTATGGAGGATTTGGGTAACACAGTCCACAGGGTAACACACACCCTCAGCCCTATACTGGAAGCAGAAAATAGGGCCTGCTTATATGTCCATTTAGAACAGTGGTTCTCAACCTTCCTAATGCCGAGACCCTTTAATACAGTTCCTCATGTTGTGGTGACCCCCAATTTCATTGTGACAAATTGAACATAATTAAAGCATAGTGATTAATCACAAAAAATAATATGTTATTATATATGTGTTTTCCGATGGTCTTAGGTGACCCCTGTGAAAGGGTCATTCAACCCCCAAAGGGGTCTGGACCCACAGGTTGAGAACCGCCGATTTAGACAATCTGTTCGTTACGAACCCAACATTCTTAATAAAAACCTCAAAAGGATTTTCATCATCCCCATTCTCTCTCCATGACCCAAGAGAAACTATAAATCAAAAAATACAAAGGTGAAAAATACTTGAATACTAAGATTTTACATTAAAATAACCTCTAGAGCCCCCCAGTCCTCTCTGCACGCCGGGCAGGGCAGGCGGGTAAGGCCACCGCGTGGCCGAGTCTGCACAGTTGAGTGGCACTTGTCAGAGAAGGCCACCAAGGAGGGCAGGGCCACCCCGTAGGGAACACTGAATAGTGCCAGGGTCTTTCTGGTTGTTACAAAGACAGAGTTGCCATCGGCCTTTGGGGGTGGGGTCAGGAATGCTACATGATCTGCAAAGCCCAGAACACGCTCATGCGATGAAGAATCGCTGTGGCCAATAGGCCAGAGATGTTGCCATTGATAAACTTTGTCTTAAAAGCGACCGCAGGGCAGAGAATCCACAGAGCCTGATATTTCTGTGTGAAGTTAAGTTAATATTACCATGGTAGAAAAAGTCTTCTGTAAAAGTAACAGGCAATTCAATGTTCAATTTCCCACAGAAAAACCAAATTCAAGAACTTTGCCTTACTTTTGACAATCATCTGAGAGCACTCTGTTTAGGAACTGCTGCTGAAACTCATTTTATTTTATTACTAAGAATCAGAAAGGGAATTCATGTTTAGCTACCACAGAACAGATAGACAAATGGGCAGATAAGCACACAGGGAACTGTAAATCTATTTTATTTGCTATTTGGGTGATATTAACTAGGTCACATTCTCGGCCACATTCTGCGAAAACCAAACTGTTATCAGTTACCAGAGCATCAGTGTAGTCCTTCTCCTTGAGCTACTTTTTTGTACACCTTCACGTAAAGACAAAGTATTTCAGTGATTCCGTCTTAGCACCTCTGGGAGTTCCGAAGGTCAGGGCAATGTCATGTGGTAGGTACAGCACCTGGCATGGGAGGCACGAGGCCCGGCTGTAGGCCTGGCTCTCCCCTTACCAGCCGTGTGACCTCCCGGTGTTTACTCATCGATGCATTGGGAGAACAGTATTCGCCTTACTTGTCTTAAAGGGCTGGGATGCAAAGTGACCACCAAGTCCTGCTAAGGGCCTCCAAGCTGCACTGAATCTGGCCTCCCCCACCTCTCTGAGCTTGTTATCAGCCATACTCCTCCCTCCCTGGCCCACTCCAGCTCTGCACCTCCCTGGCTCCCTCCCTGTTCCCCAGCTATGTTGACTGAACATGTCTGTGCTCACCGTTCTCTCTGCCCAGAACGCCCTGCCCGGACAACTTTGGAGCACTCTTACTCATGCACTTTCTTTTCTTTTCTTTTTAAAAAATATATTTTTATTGATTTCAGAGAGGAAGGGAGAAGGAGAGAGAGATAGAAATATCAACGATGAGAGAGAACCATTGATCAGCTGCCTCCTGCATGGTCCCTACTAGGGATTGAGCCTGCAACCCCAGGCATGTGCCCTGACTAGGAATCAAACCGTGGTCTCCTGGTTCTTAGGTCAACACTCAACCATTGAGCCATGACAGCCGGGCACTCATGCACTTTCTTGAGGTCTCTGCTCATGTCATCTCGTCCAAGAGATTGTCATAGACTATCCTGTGACACAGAGTTCTCCCAACCTTTTCTGTTTCTGTCTCTATTCTACTGGATTCCTCAACATAGTGACAATTGGCCATGTACTACCTCATATTTTAATTTGCTTACTTATTGTCTGTTTCTTCTCTGCTAGAATGTAATCTCAAAGAATGCAGGAAACTTCACTCACTTTTCCTTAGGAATAGTATTCCAATAATATATTAGAGTTTTTCCTGAATCAGTCTGTGTAAAAATGTAGAAGTGTGTTTAGTTAGAAAGTTTGTGTCTCTACTTTTCAGCAATGTAAAATTATATAAATATTTTATTTTTATAACATTAAGTATGTCTGCAGACACATCTATAATAATAAAAGTGTAATATGCTAATTAGACAGGACTTCTTTCCGGATGACCTTCCAGACGAAGCCAGGGCTGCGAGGGAAGCCTGGGTCCTGGGTGCCGGTGGCCAGAGGGAAGCCCGGGTCCTGGGTGCCAGAGGGAAGCCGGTGCCGGCAGTTGGGGGAAGGAAGGCCTACTCTTGCATGAATTTCATGCATTGGGCCTCTAGTAACTCTATAATGACTTAGAGTAGGATGGCAAGTTACACTTTTATCATCTCTACTATGCAGTTTGCCTATCTTCATGATCCTAATGCATTTTCAATTACTCACACAAGCACGGATTTTGCATAATGTTCCTCTAGAAAGGTAGTCTATGCACTCTATTCAGAAGGGAAATTGCTCATTCACTGAAAGCAACATGTTCTGCTTCAGGACTTTAAACGCCAGAAGCTAAGAGAGCCAACAGCTCATTATTTGCTCAGATCCAAGTTTTCAAAGTGCTCCTGGGTTTCATCAATCTCGCCTGTGTTTGTGCTGGAAAGTGACCCATTTCTTACCAGTTTTCCTCTAGTACTTAGTGCACAGCAGACACTCTGTGCTTGTGTGGCAACCTGCTGACACAGGCTTCACGCAACGTATCTACCCCCACCCTCTTTAAAAGGAGATGAAGGGCCGGTTAGCTCAAAAAAAAAGAAAAAAAAAAGAAAAAAAAAAAGGAGATGAAGGAGGCTACTTACATTTCGAACCTGATGAAGAGGACCCGCTGGCGGCAGATCTCGAGCCCCCTTTCATGGAAAAGACCCCTTTTCCCCGGCGAGTCGTCGAGACAGCCACCCTGGGGCGCTTCAGCGGGATGACCGCGCGGGGAGGTGGAGGCACGCGGCCGTGGTAATCGAACAACCTGCACAGAACACAGACATGGGAAGATTGGCTTGGGCCTCAGCGTGCTGTCCAGGGAGGAAATTTTTGAGAGAATGGCCGGGAAGAAAACTTTAATACATGTTTTGGTTATTGTTGTTCTTTAACATTCAGAAACGGGTATTTATTAGAAAATCATTTTTCAAAAGAAATAAAATGTAACCTATGCTGTCTGGACATTAGAATCTGACTCTCCAATATGAGCTCATTTGTCAGGTATGAAAGGACATATACAGGTGTCCGTTGTTATAGCACCTCTTTCATTTCTAACTTTACTTATTTCGGTCTCCTCTCTTTATTTCTTGATGAGTCTGGCTAGGGGGTCATCAATCCTGTTTATTTTTTCAAAGAACCAGCTCTTGGATTTATTGATCTTTTGTACTTTTTTTTTTTAAGTCTCTATGTCATTTATTTCCACTCTGATCTTTATTATTTCCTTACTTGTACTTCCTCTAGCCAGTGGTTCTCAACTTTCCTAATGCTGCGACCCTTTAATACAGTTCCTCATGTTGTGGTGACCCCCAACCATAAAATTATTTTCGTTGCTACTTCATAACTGTAATTTTGCTACTGTTATGAATCATAATGTAAATATCTGATATGCTATATGTGTTTTCCGATGGTCGCGACCTACATGTTCTCTTTCGAAGTCATTTACTAGTAGTTGTAAGGTTAGATAGCTTATTAGTCCTTTTTCTTTTTTCTTGAGGGAGGCCTGCAGTGCTATGAACCTTCCTCTCAGGACTGCTTTCACTGTGTCCCATAGGTGTTGGGTGGTTGTGTGTTCATTTTCATTTGTTTCCAGGGAGTTTTAAATTTCTCGTTTGTTCTCATCGGTAACCCATTCATTGTTTATTGTTTAATAACATGCTATTTAACCTCCATGTATTTGAGTGTTTTTGAGGTTTTTTTTTTTATTGTAGTTGATTTCTAACCCCATGCCATTGTGATCTGAGAAGATGCTTGCTATTATATCAATCTTCCTGAGTTTGTATAGACTTGTTGTGTGCCCTAACATGTGTTCTCTTTTTGAGAATGTTCCATGTGCACTTGAGAAGAATGTATATTTTGTTGCTTTGGGGGAAATGTTCTGTAAATATTGGTTAGATCCATCTGATCAAGTGTGTCATTTAAGGCCTCTGTTTCCTTGTCTGGAAGATCTATCTAGTGATGTCACTGGGGTGTTAAAGTCCCCTACTATGACTGTATTGCTGTCAATCTCTCCCTTAAAGTCCATCAATACTTTTTTTTATGTACTTGGGTGCTCCTATATTGGGTGCATATATGTTTACAAGGGTTATATTTTCTTATTGAATCCTTCCCTTTAGTATTATGAATGGCCTTCTTTGTCTCTTGTTAGGTCCTTTGTTTTGAAGTCTATCTTGTCTGATATGAGTATTGCTACCCCCCACTTTTTATCCTTTCCATTTGCATGGAATATATGTTTCCATCTTTTCACTCTCAGTTTGTGTGTATCTTTTGTTCTGAGATGGGTCTCTTTTGTAGACAGCATATATATGGGTCACGTGTGGGTTTTTTTTTTTTTAATCCATTCAGTCACCCTATGTCTTTTGACTGGAACATTTAATCCATTTACATTTAAGGTTATTTTAATAGGTATTTATTGCCATTTTTATTTTCTTTATGCCTATGTTCCTCTCTCTTTCCTTTTCTTCAGGAAGAAAGATTTAAAAAAATATTCTGTAATAGGTTCTTTCATAAAGCTACATGTTATTTACACTTTCAGATAAAATGGGATAATTGTTTTGGAGCATACGATGTGAAATATGATAACAATTAAGACAGGCTGGTTTTCCAAATATTCACTCATTCTGTTGGAGGAAAAGAAGTAGAATATGAACCACATTTAAAGCAGAACTTAGAGCTAGGAATGTCCAGCATTAGCAAGCTAAAGTGTTCAAAAATGATTGGGAAACGTGCTGTGGAAAAAGCAAGAGATATCTGGGAAGGAAAAGAAATGAAATGAAAGAGTTCAAGGGAGGAGCCATCTTCTGCGAATAAGCAAAGTTCACTAGATCCGAAGAACCGCTCGCCAAGAGCAGCTGATGGGGGTCCCCGCCCAGCTCATGTGCAGTGTAGGCAGAGTGACGATGAGGGTTAGGAACGCCATCCCTACCAGAGCTGGAGAATCAAGAGGGTCAACCAAGCCCGCCCCTCATTTCCACTACAAACAAGGTCTCCAGGACTGATTTATAAGTTGAATTTGCAGAGCACCTTAAGCCAGTGAATCAAAGTTCAAAGGCAGCTATTGAGGGAGGAGAAAATGTGGCAATTGACTCATCTCTCAGGGATAGACTTTGCCATTGAGATGAAAGGCAAGCTCTTTTGGACAGACCATTCCCCCAGGCCATGCAATCTAGCAGGTTCATTAAATAAGCTAATCTATATATTTGGCAAAGAGCACTTCTAAAGCATAACTGAAATCTATAATGATATAAGAATGCTATAATGAAAATTCAGGACAAATAAAGTGACATTGCTACTTCAGTGACAATGCAATCAAGTGCTATTTTACAGGGAACTGAAAAGTCCAGCAGCATCTCTACTGCCTCCCCAGCCAAGGAGCTCAAAGCCTGCATGTGGGCTGGGTCTGAGCCTGTGTTGAGAGAAGGTGGCTGCATCTGACATACTTTTTGTATGTGACACACATTTTATAATTTCCTCAGTATGTGTCATGTCCTTTGTTGATAATTCCAACATAGTGTAGCCAAGTTCTCTGAATATTTTGCTGAGTTGCTTCAAAGGTGGGGGTGGATGTGGGGGAGGGTGGAGAGGTGACTCCTTCTCACCAAGGAACCAGGTGCCGTTTTACCAAGTCCTTCTGCCAATCTGATGGGATGGCATACAGCATCAGAAAGTAACCTTTTAAAAGTGAATGTAATTTAAAACAAAACAAAATAAAAAAAAAACAGCTAAAGAAAGGTATGGGCACTTCACAGAAGGGCATAATTTTTAATTTGACAAAATGAAACGGCGCTGGGGAGTTTCTTAATCTCACTGGGCAAATGTGAGTTGACCAGAAAGAAAAGGGAGGAAGACTGGGCACTGTCCTGTGCATAGAAGCATAGCAAGGTCAGGCTGGGTAGGGGCACTGAGATGGGATGTGGGGTCCTTCCCAATGTTGGGGAAGTGGGCGAGGAGCAGCTGTGAAGGGGAACCCTATGTTGGCTTCTCACCCAAATTCTGTGTGTCAAAGCTCAAAGAGATTTTGCCTTCACAGAGTGTGGATGGGGCTGAGACAAGGGAAACAGTCCATTTAGGATCCATATACGGGCAATAGAGACGCCAACCACAGAGTTCAGTGGACTCCAAATCCCAAAGGTCAGTTAAAACCGTAACATTTCTTCCCTCCTCTTATTTTTTTATTTCCACTCTTAGAATTATATAGATTCCCTGTCTTTTCTGTAATGGTTCATTTTCCCCAATATTGCTGAGTCAGAATACTGTTTAATCCCTGTATTTACTGGTCAAATAGACAATGAGTTATGATAAAGCTAAACACATCAGTTTTCCTCCCCCAATGTCTATTTTAAAATAAAACCTCTAAAAATTTAAGAATACTATTCCCCCCTAATATTTACTGATCAAATAGATAATGGTTTACAATGAAGCTAAACATAACTTTCCTTCCCCAAGGTCAATTGTAAAATAAGAACTATAAAAGAGCTACTCTTAAACATTAAATAAAATAAATGCAGTCATCCTACCTAATAAAAGAGTAATATGCAAGTTAACCATCACTCCCCCACTCCATCACTCCCTCACTCCATCACAAGGATGGTGGTGGCCAAGGAGCTGGAGCAGCAGGAGGCTTGGGTTGCCCCCGGCGATGGAGGAAGCCAAGCTTCCCGCCTGCCCTGGCCGGCCCTGAGCTCCACTCAAGGCTACAAAGTTTCGATTATAGGAGATAAATAAATCCCAGATACCTGCTTCTAGCCGATGGGCGTGGCAAGCCAGAAAAAGGCCATCAGCCCCTCACCCAGGCTGGCCAGGTACCTCAGTAGGGACCCCCACTCTGAAGGGGGTGTGGCCAGCCTGCAAACAGCCCTCAGCCCCTCACCCAGGCTGGCCAGGCACCCCAATAGGGACCTCAACCCTGAAGGGGGTGGGCCAGCCTGAAAACAGCCCTCAGCCCCTCACCCAGGCTGGCCAGGTACCCCAGCAGGACCCCCCCCCTGATCCAGGACACCCTCAGGGCAAACCAGCCGGCCCCCACCCGTGCACCAGGCCTCTATCCTATATAATAAAAGGGTAATATGCAAACTGACCCTAACAGCAGAACAACTGGGAATGACTGGTCACTATGACACACACTGATGACCAGGGGCAGATGCGCAATGCAGGAGCTGCCCCCTGGTGGTCAGTGCACTCCCACAGGGGGAGCTCTGCTTAGCCACAAGCCAGGCTGCCAGCTGCCAGCACAGCGGTGGTGGCGGGAGCCTCTCCCGCCTCCTCAACAGCGCTAAGGATGTCTGACTGCAGCTTAGGCCTTCTCCCTGCTGGCAAGTGGACATCCCCCGAGGGCTCCTGGGCTGCCAGAGGAATGTCTGACTGCCAGCTTAGGCCCAATCCCCCAGGAAGCAGGCCTAAGCCAGCAGGTGGACATCTCCCGAGGGGTCCCAGACTGTGAGAGGGCACAGGCTGGGCTGAGGGACCCTCCCAAGTGCACAAATTTTTGTGCACCAGGCCTCTATTATTTTAATAAAAGCAACCCCTGGAGGAAATTTGAGGATTTAAGTTGCTTTATTCAATAAACATTTCTAATTTTCATGTGCCCATTTCTTGTTTAGAACTTTTTTTTTGCTTTAATAATATCAGAGACATGTAATTTTATTGAATAGCAAAAGCTAAAATCTGGTAAATAATTTTAATACTAACTTACTTGACAAAATAGACATAATTTGTCTCTAGGAAAAATAAGGACATTAGCTATTAAAATGGCTTCTTTTTGGACAAAGGCAA